TATACAATGGATGATACATTTACGGGGTTTTTTAGCAAATAAAACAGCTTGAAATGGAAAATCGACATTAGATTAGGCTATATGGCAATAGACCGCATTATAATACTTATGATATATTATAAAATGTAATTTGTTAGTAATTTCAATTTCTGTAAGTAATTTATTGTAATTGCAATAGATTTTTCGACTTTGCATACAGACGATTGATGCAACATAAAGCGTTCAACAGATGGTATTTTACTTTTAATACTTGATATATGAATATGTATTTTTTCTTGAGATTCAAACAGAATGTAAATGCAGCAACATGAAGGCAATAATTATTAGTTTTATCATAATTTCTAGATTATGTAAATACATGTAATAAGAACAAATCATCCCTGTAAGAAGAGACTGGAGTCCTTAGAGACTTGTGAAATCCAGATTTGCACCAAGCCACCCATGTTGACTGGTCACATATCTAGACTTGCCTATTAGGAGGGTAGAATTACTACACATCCATGGACTTTTGTTCCATAGCAGCCTTAGAGCAAGGCTACTCAGCTCAGTACAGCTACACAACGCAGGAGAATGAATTAATCTTTGGGTCTACTCCTCAATATCTACATGGAATTGTAAAATGAATGGGAGTTTGTGCTTCAATCTTATTGGTTGGGAAGTGCTGTCACATGGGCCAGAAGTAGCCATGACACATCGCGGAGGAACATTAGAAGTCGTCATCCTAACCTCATCATGTCCTCGTGCACTCGACTTCAACTCTCCAAACATTTATTGTTTTTTTCTTGTTTAACGCCGCACTCAGCAATATTCCAGCTATATGACAGCCGTGTCTCAATAATCGAGTCTTGACCAGACAATCCAGTGATTGATATCATGACCATCAATCCACGTAACTGGGATATGATGACATGCATCAACCAAGCCAGCCAGCCTGACCACCCGATCCCAATAATCGCCTCTTATGACATGCATAGTCGATTTTTACAGTAAGCATTGGATCTTTATTACCCTGAATCTTCACGGGTCATATTTATTGTAAATCTTTCGGACACAATACACACTTTTTTCATATCACCACAGTTAATTTGTCATGCCGTGTCATTTGAATAATCTGGGTGTTCTTAACTTCTTTTGCGTAGTATACATGCTATCAAGCACTCAAGCTATCAACCACTGGTTTGCACTATTCTGACTTGATTATAGATGACCGTGACATGTTGATACTGACATACTGCAATTATCCAATCACTTTAAAATCAGATCTTAGTTCTCGCTACTGTTAAACAAAGATCTGAGGACAAAGCATTACGGGGCACATCAGAACGACCTTTCATCCGAAGGTTGGTTACAAGATCGGGAAAGTGACAGTCGGCATGTGTTTTCTAATCACACAACCTCAATGTCAGTTACAGGCTGTTCGAAAAATTCTGTCAAAATCAGTGACTATCTCTGGCTTAGTCCTCAACCATGATCGGGGAACATATTTATTTTATCAAAAAAAATAATTATCTAGAAATGCATACAAAAGCAAGTCCAGCCAGCTCAAGCTAGCTCTATTCCACAATCAGCATAGGGATTTTTTGTTTTTATTTTTAGAGTCAAGAAGGATATTGTGTAATATAAGATTTCAGAGACTAAATGTTAGTCTATCTCTGGCTTTAATGGGATAAACATTTGAACAGAAGAGACTTATGCCCCGAGGAAGTACTGCCGTATAATCACTGCCATCTTTTAGAAATTCTAGAATTTTGTTATGTTTAGTTTTCACATTCTGAATCGATATTTTTCAAAGAGTAGTCTTGAATGGAACCGCCTGTTTGAAACCGTGACGTAAAACTCGAGAAAGCTGTTTCTGACTGACTAATATCGACTTCTTGCAAATCATTCCATTGGTCAGTCAATGCTTGCATAAGGTCGTTCTGGAAAACCTGACATGAGATGTCCTCAGTTCAGTGGTCATGAGAACTAAGATGAGTGAGTGAGTGAGTGAGTGAGTGAGTGAGTGAGTGAGTGAGTGAGTGAGTGAGGTCACAAGGTCACCTGGCAAGGTCACCGTATACACTAAGATCTGCTCTGGGGCACAAGATTTGGTCTAGTGGCAGACCTGGCAAGGTCACCGTATACAATGAGACGGGTTCTGGGGCACAAGGTTTGGTCTGGTGGCAGTCCTCACAAGGTCACCTTGCAAGGTCACCGTATACACAAGATCTGTTCTGGGGCACAAGGTTTGGTCTAGTGGCAGTCCTCACAAGTTCACTGTAAACACTGAGACCTGTTCTCGGGTACCAGGTTTGGTCGAATGGCAGTCCTGGCTATGTTTTCTTCTTCTGTGAGCTTACATTTTAAGACAGGGTTATCATTAAATAGTAGATTGGTACATAATTACACAGGTAGAATGTCGCATTCATTGCACTGATCATAAGGTCTTAACCTAGACTGAAAATGGGTTCAAGGCTGTTGAGAATATAACTCCTATTGTTCCAAGAGAGTAAAGAATCAATGGTATGTAACAGTCATATTAATAATGCATAGTGGGTGAGTAAGTATGGGTTTACGCCGCTTTTAGCAATATCCCAGCAATATCACGGCGGGGGACACAAGAAATGGGCTTCACACATTGTACCCATGTCGGGAATCGAACCTGGGTCTTCAGTGTGACGAGCAAACGCTTTAACCACTAGGTTGCCCGACCGCCCTGAAGGAAGATCCGACTTCATGGGATTGTCTATTATCCTACAGTGAAAACTCGACCATATCATCACAGTTCAAGAAGGTGTGGTCCGGAAAGCATCCCAGGGAAACAGAGCATGAAGCAGTCTCCTGTGACATTTTTCAGCTTCAGTGTTACAAAATGTCGCATCCAGGGTTTTCTTTACCTAACATGAATGTTCTCGGATTGGACTAAACTTGTGATGGCATGTGTGGTAAGCCAGTTTGGGGACTAAGTTTGTGCTGGTATGTGTCGTAATCCAACTTTTGGACTAAATTGTGATGGTGTGTGTCCGTGTGCCAGTGTCAGGACTGAACTGTGATGGTGTGTATCGTACTGTAAACAATGGTTATAACAAACTCTAAGGGACAACAAACATTCGTTTGTAATAACCGTAGATCGTTACGAGCATATTTACAGCATATATACATACAACAAATGGCAGGGACTTAAAAATAACTTGGTTATATCGGTCACATTGTTATAAGCATGTTTGTTATAAACATAGTTTACTGTAATCAAGTATTAGGACGAAACTTGTGATCGTCAGTGTCATATCCAAGTTTTTGGACAAAAGTTATGATGGTATCTGTCATATACAAACAAATCCATCCAAATGATCATGTGGTTAATGTTTTTTCTACTGATAAAAATGGGTGTGGCATCACATGAATAAAAAAAACACTGGTTGACAGAGGGTGTGGTTCAAGTTTTATCGGCTATGATGTGAGCTGCATTTCATCATATGTTGTATCGTCCTACATTATTAAACAAGCAGTTTCAATGGAAATACATAAAATGTATTTCTTAGAAACAAATTTATTTGAGTAGTACAAATCTCATCAACCACATCCACACTACATCCATTACTTAGACTAACTGTGAAATTTGACACACCGAGTGAACCCTCCTTTACCAAGTCTTTTAAAATGTAGGATATTTCTTACATGATGTACAATTGAATTTATTTCCCAATGTTTTAAAAATTTCAAACTTAATGAAGAAAGCAAGTGAAATAACCAGTCATTGAAATCTGTCATTCAACTTCCTGTAAAGTAACAAATACCGTATATGACCGTAGAAAGGCCAAATTTTGAGGACCAGAACAAAGATTCTGTAGAAAGGGGTCGTCTTATGTATGGGTTACACTTTCATCAAACTCTTTTTCTGTTGGTAAAAAACCTACATTGTATCGCTTCAGGTGAATCAACAATGCTATAACAAACCAAATTTTGAGGACAGGAAAAAAATATTCTGTGGAATTGGAAAGGGGTAGGCTTATATATGGGTTACTCTTTCATCAAACTCTTTTTCTGTTGGTAAAAAAAACTACATCGTATCGCTTCGGGTGAAAGTGAGTGAGTGAGAATGGTTTTACGCCACTTTTAGCAATATTCCAGCAATATCACGGCGGGGGACACCAGAAATGGGCTGCACACATTGTACCCATGTCGGAAATCCAACCCGGGTCTTCGGCGTGACGAGCTAACGCTTTAACCACAAGGCTACCTGACCGCCCCCTCCGGTGAAAGAAAGAACACTATAACAAACTTTTAACTTGGCATAGGATTAAACACCTAAAGCTGTTGAGAGATGTATTGTATACACTGCACAATGGCCAACATACACTACTATCACCACAGGTTGATTATTGACAAAACCACCACATCAGCACTGCCGAGATGAGATCTCAAGGGCCACATGTTGCAGTGGATATCTTGATGTAGTTCCTGTGGCCATCGTTCAGCCCTGTACAATCACACTTACCACAAACACTCAGCATGGGGTCTCACAGAACAGCAAGGCTCTCCCATGTGTCTCTCACACAGGCTTCATATGTGTACTCAAGCACTTTAACAGCCCGACAAGTCTCTATGTAATGCGATATTTCTGAATTTCTTGAAACAAGACGAACTCAAACTATCAAAAACAGATCCAGGAATGTCTACAGAGCCTCACTGAAGATACTGAGAGAAAACTTTGAGGAATTTGGTTTAGGCTACCGTAACTTATCATACTGCTGCTGGAGAGATAGGTCAGCAAGTTAAAAGATTGTTTACACTGCCCCGAGTTGCTTTCAACTGAGTCTCCAGTGAAGGGGTTTGCAGTTGGAGATTTACAGCCACACCTGTTAACTCCCCTAGATCATTCAGCTACTAAAGGAGGGTATGCCTGTGGACAATAACCCATCTAGTATTACCAGCAGGTAGTGAACTGAACCGCGACTGACCTACAACTCACAACAACCACGGTTCTCCCTGTTGACAGACCACTGACAGCCCACACTCACCTTGCCTTCCTTCTTAGAACTGCTCATGGTAGCTATCTACAGTCTCTCGTCCCCCAATTGTAACAACCTAGCCCTCGGTCTTCTATGCCTTACTCTTTTACTGTCAAGTTCTCACTCACAGCTGTATTGGTGATGTGGCTTGCATATGTCACTCCAACAAACTCCAGCCAATCAATGACCTCCATTTCATTGTAGCTCCGCCCATCAATGCAAACATGAAATGGCCTTCCCATTTCCTAAGTGTTTCACATTCATTCATGCAGTGCTCGTACAACAGGTGAAGCTGAAGGTGTGAAGGATTAAAGTGACTCTTGGCATGATCATGTCCACTTCCTCGCTGGAATCAACTTGTGCAACTGATGCTATTCAAATATCACACTTATTTACAGGTAGTTCAAATAAAGACCACAGTATGGTATGAGTGAAACAGGTATGATGAGAATACTGACATTAAGTGCATGAAAAATAACCTCTTCTGTTTAAAAAAATATAAAAGTTGAATTCCCCCAAATCTTTTATCTAATGCTGAAAACTATCAAAATGTTTTGTTTGTTGTTTAACGCTGCACTCTGCAATATCCCAGTTATATGACATCAGTGTTCGAAATACCTGCCTGCCCGACCGTCCGAGACGGGTTGATTTCAACTCGGGCTGCCAGATTTTCAAATCCCCCTGCCCGACGGTCGGGTTATATTTCATATGTGAAAATATTCAAAATATTTCCTGATGATAAGCATTAATTCACATGTAAAGATGAATGATAAAATGTAACCAAAACGAAACCCCGTTAGCTTATCCTGAGAAACATGATTATAGTGGGCAGGCAGGTTTTGGTCAGGGCTGGCAAGTATTTCAGCTAGCCAGTCCTGTGGTCTGGCTGAAATTTTTGGGAGTTTCATACCCTGATGACATCCTTCTGTAAATAATCAAAATCTGGACCAGACAATCCAGTGATTGACGACATGAGCATCTATCCACACAACTGGGATACGATGACATGCATCAACCAAGTCAGCGAGCCTGACCACCCATTCCCATTAATCGCCTATTACGACAAGCATAGTTGCTCTTTACAGCAAGCATGGGTTGCTGAAGACCTATTCTAACCCGGATCTTCACGGGTCCTATCAAAATGTGCCCATTTCTATCATCGAGACGCATATTTTATACCACTTTCCTTGTTAATCACTCCATGATTGTATCAGTGAGTATTGCATGCATACATTTCAATAAATCACAGTAGTAAACTGCCTATAGACTGCATGGTGAGAATTTTAATATGAATATACAGCAACATATGTCTCTTCTGAGGTGATGATACAAATATTCAGACATAATGAAATTGAAAATACAATGTCATGAGCAAGCTGTGAAAGCAGCTAACTATACAATGAATGTTACCTACATTTCATTCAGTATGTTCAATATCGCTGAATAGCAATACATATATTCATTTAATTTTTTCCTTTTACAATATACCAAACGCCTGTAACTTGATGATGACACCTCAAGGCTACATTGGTCACACTTATGAGAACCATTCCAACATCTGTAAGCAATATTGCTTTGAAAAGATTAAAATTAGAATGTGATTAAACTCTGGGAAAGATCAGAGAGTGAACCAGCTTCTGTATGAGTATACAGATATAGATCGTAACAGCTGCTTCAGGATCACTGAAATGACAACTCAACATCGTATTATCTGAAGTCGGAAACAACGCAGATGCAGCTGTCATAGCGGCCGTTTTGGGACAATATTTGTGACTGTAGCCATGACATGTCAATGTCTTGAATCACTTAATTGCTGTTATTTATAAGATGCAAATCCCAATTGTTGATCATTGTATTGTACATTGAATGTCTGCCATCCTGAACGAACTGTGCAACTATGTCACTGATGATTACTGTTATTTATATTATTGACTTAATCCATGTCAGGTGACCCAAACATGTAAAGGTTTTGGGTGACCTTGGCAATATGAGCCTTGGTCCACAGATGAAAATCGGAGAGCAGAGGTTGGTTGGTTGGTTGGTTTGTTGTTTAACATCGCACTCAGCAATATTCCAGCTATATGACGGCAGTCTGTAAATAATCGGGTCTGGACCAGACAATCCAGTGATTAATATCATGAGCATCGATCCACGAAATTTGGATCGATGACATGCAATAACCAAGTCAGCGAGCCTGACCATCCGATCCCGTTATTCGCCTCCTACAACAAGCATAGTCGCCTTATACAGCATCCATAGGATGCTGAAGACCTATTCAACCCTGGATCTTCACGGGTCCGGAGAGCAGAAGTTCTTAGCCTTAACCTAGGAACACCATCACTACAAAATGTGCTGACCTGGCACACAGTGCTTCTTGTATATATATATCTACCTGTATAAAGTAAACTTGCATATACTGCAAGCCGTCGACTCCATGTTGTCACTTGCTACCAAGAACCATACGCTAGCCCCTTTGCATATAGGAATATGCCTATGATTAGCAATATCATCTGTGTCCCCAATGCATGTGCATTGCCCGCTGAAACAGTTTTCAAAATTAAGGATGAAAATCCTTGCCATTACTACAGTAACCCTACTCAAGGACCTCGGACTCCTCATTAGAGTGAGTGAGTGAGTTGGGTTTACTGCTGCTTTTAACAGTATTCCAGTTATATCATGGCGTGTCAGCGTAATGTGGGAGGAAAGCCCAAAGTTATGCAGGTCTAAGACGTTTACCACTTCAGTGAAACCCACAGGCATGGGTATGGTGCTGACAAACCTAGAAACATAATCGGGGCGAATCGGTATTCGAACCCACAATCATAGGTTTCTGGCGTGCCCAAGGGACGCAACTCTGCACAGCGAATCGTGGTGCCTTAAACGACTTGGCCACCCGTGCCCCCTCTTCATTAGAGACACTTGTGATTCACAGACACAGACAGAAGCAAGTGATTGCCAAACATGTTCTCAAAATGTACTTGTTACAAAGACACCTTCATTTTAAACCCATTCAATGTTTTTTATTCAAATAGATAGGAGGGCCTGAAGAAGACCACTGTCATGTTTGTACAGACCACAACTGCTAGGCAGGAAGTGAATCTGAGGACTTTACATTTTTGAAATCTTCAAAACAGGTCACTGGAAGTCTAAATATGGATGTTAGAATTATGGAGTTCAAAAGTCACCACATAATTCACATTCAAGATTAGAAATTAACTTGTATTTTCACTTCACAAGCAAGCAGTAGATTCACCTGAGTCAGGCTTCAAGTCCAAGGTCAAAATAGTCCAAGGTCAAAATAATACAATGTGTATATCCATGTGTCAATATTTCGATTTTATGTTTAGATACAGTATTGGGATACATATTGTATTGGAATATTCATATATCAACTTGATAAAATATCTAAAACCATGTTAAAAAGAAGAAAGGTTATATTTATGGGAAATTGGATCGTTGAATCAACGAATACTAAAATACACTATTAGAAACCAACACTAATCTGCCAGCCTGTCCGAATAATACTCAATGGTTAAAGTGCACACAAAGCTACCTGTACAGACTAATCTATAAAACAACATTCGATCAACATCACCATAAGGATTATTAAGGATTATTAAGGATTAACATGATTAAGGACTACTGACAGTGAACTTGAATGGCTGTAGTGTATTCTTCCATGTCTTTAATTATCTTGAACATGTATGACAGAAACCGACAGACGAAGAATGTGTGATGTGGTTTGAATGTGAAACAGATGTTTCCTCCAGCAGCTGGCTTAAGTAGTTATTATACATCCAGGAGATTACCGGCACTAGCAGGTAGGAGCTAGGTCATCAATAATGTAATTACTTATCCTATAAAATGTCACTTTTAAATGACATAAGACAAACCTCACGTCACTGTTAATGTCCTATTTAAAAGTTCCAAGGCTCTCTTCATACAACAGTTAGGATTAACAGACTGACAATGTCAATACTGACTAATCGTTATGAAACCATTATCTAGGTGTTTAATGGCAAAGTGTTTTTACTTTCAGAGATAGCCTTCCATCATCAATGGTGAAATCAAGTGAATGAATCAAATCAGTGACAGCTATAGCCATTAAAGCACATCAACAGCTTATGTCATCCGATGAGATCTGTAGCCTTTTAAGCCAGACACATCAACAGCTAAATGTCATACGATGAGAACTGTAGCCTTTTAAGCCAGACACACCAACAGCTTATGTCATCCAATGAGAGCTGTAGCCTTTTAGGCCAGACACACCAACAGCTAAATGTCATCCGATGAGAGCTGTAGCCTTTTAGGCCAAACGCATCAACAGCTAAATGTCATCCGATGAGAGCTGTAGCCTTTTAGGCCAGACACACCAACAGCTAAATGTCATCCGATGAGAACTGTAGCCTTTTAAGCCAGACACATCAACAGCTAAATGTCATCCGATGAGATCTGTAGCCTTTTAGGCCAGACGCATCAACAGCTAAATGTCATCCGATGAGAGCTGTAGCCTTTTAGGCCAGACACACCAACAGCTAAATGTCATCCGATGAGAACTGTAGCCTTTTAAGCCAGACATATCAACAGCTAAATGTCATCCGATGAGAACTGTAGCCTTTTAGACCAGACACACCAACAGCTAAATGTCAACCGATGAGAACTGTAGCCTTTTAGGCCAGACACATCAACAGCTAAATGTCATCCGATGAGAACTGTAGCCTTTTAAGCCAGACATATCAACAGCTAAATGTCATCTGATGAGAGCTGTAGCCTTTTAAGCCAGACATATCAACAGCTAAATGTCATCCGATGAGAGCTGTAGCCTTTTAGGCCAGACACACCAACAGCTAAATGTCAACCGATGAGAGCTGTAGCCTTTTAGGCCAGACACATCAACAGCTAAATGTCATCCGATGAGAAATGTAGCCTTTTAAGCCAGATATATCAACAGCTAAATGTCATCTGTTTAGAACTGTAGCCTTGTAGGCCAGACACATCAATAGCTAAATGTCATCCGATGAGAGCTGTAGCCTTTTAGGCGAGACACACTAACAGCCAAATGTCATCCGATGAGAGCTGTAGCCTTTTAGGCCAAACGCATCAACAGCTAAATGTCATCCGATGAGAGCTGTAGCCTTTTAGGCCAGACACACCAACAGCTAA